GTGTGTTTACAGCATCTGTCGCTTCCTGTTTGAGGCTGGCAAGGTGGAGGCCAGGCGCTCCGTTTGATTGAACCTACATCTCTCTACAGACCTCGGTTTCTCGACCAAAACAAAATGAAGCTAAACGTGTAGAACTTTTCTTAATGGTCTTATTTTGTGAAGTGTCCTGATGCTAGTTCACCAGACAGTCTGAACGATAATCCTGCGCCATTCCTCCTGCTCGGGGATGGTGAGGCTGAGTTATAGGCCCTAGGCTGCCTACTGATTGCAGTCACCACTGTTGAAAAATAAAAGGAAAGGGGCTAAGTTCAATTGCTTGACACTCCTCTGGCCCCACTTAGTAAAGAAAGTACATTTATTCAAAACTCCATACTATTTAACAGGCCTGCAGTGCTGTTGTAGCTGTGTTGGTCCAGGAAAAGCACAAGACCCTTGCCACAATAATTCTAATCAACTTAAAGTGAGCTTGCTAAACCTGTGTGATTATGTCCACACAATGTTGCAGAGGCTTCCATAAATCAGATTTAAAATTATACCTTTCGTTATGAAATGCAGCTTGGTGTTTACAGCAGGTTGTCCCTGCTTCACGTGACCTAACCACTCCCTTCCCATGGTGGAGTCTTGACTCCCACCCTTGATATCCACCCTGCCCCTTTGCGCAGGAAGCTGCAACCAGATATAACAGCTCAAATGCTGGATGCACTCCCTTTAATTCAGCACCCTCTATCTGGGCCCAGTTTAAGTATGTGGGGCTGATCCCTGGGATGCGCTTTTGTCCTGTTCAGGATGCTCGCTGTTCTAGTCCACCAACAGAAGTCTCTGGCCACATGCCCCACGCATGGAGGATAGGAGCTCATCATTTCATATCCCCATGTAGGGGTTGGGGGCCCAACAAGGCACCAGATTATCTTCTATAGTACCAGGAGTGGTGGCGGCATGCTGGCCATGCCCTCAGTCTCTATCACATGAGGGACAAAGGACGAAGTTTAAGTCTTGAACAAATCCACACAAAATTGTGCACGAGCACACAGCATGGCCATGAGGTCACGGGACCCAGACATGTCCACGTGAACCTACCTTTTATAGGAAGCAGATTGTAGCACAACAAGCCAGGCCCTCGTGAACTGAATATTAAAAAAAAAGTCTAACAAATCAGAGGGACTGGACATGGTTTAGTAGAACTTTAGTGACCGTGGGAAATGGCCACTAAAGCTGTAAATCCACTGAATAGCAGAGAGCAGGGGCAGACCCTTATTTCCGTGTAACTCAAGAGACCATTTGCAACTTTCATTACAAAGAATGAAAATGGTTTGCCCTACATATTATATATTGTTTAAAAAACTTCATGGAACCAACACGTTGGCACTATGCCTTAAAAGCAGAGCCAAGACAGCCCTGCCCTGAAGGGCTTGTGACCTTAAAACACAGGACAAAATGAAAGAGAGAGATTGCTTATGAAGACTTCTGCTGGGGAGGATCATCACTGTGTTCAGGAATGGTTCTAGGGAGGGGAAGTGAGCGTACAAGCGAGAGAAGAAATGGGGACAGGGCCGGCTCTAGGCTCTGTGACAGACAAAATCAGAAATGGGGTAATAAAGGAGACAGAAGGGTCAGTCAGGCTAAAAGCACTGAGAAGAGGCAACGGTAGAAAGAAAAATGGAAGAGATGCAGGGGACACCGTTATGTATACAGGTGAGGAAGAGGAGCTGTGGGCTGCTCCAGGCAGTCAATGGGAGGAAAGACGGCTTCCGAGTGGCATTTTGGCACACGCCATCGGATATAGAGCCCAATCCTAGTCAAAGGAAATGAGGTGAAGAATGCAGTGAGGTAGGAAAGGGGAGGAGAAAATCATTTTGCACAACCACTTTTGCTGCAGAAGTTTAATGTAAATGCAATGTAAACCAAACCAAAGGCCAACTGACCCTCCCCCTTCAAACAGCTGACGGGTAAGACTTACTCTCTGATCTTTTTTTCAGAGCCATCTCTTCCAGGATCATAGACTCCCTTAGGCAGGTGCTGGATAAGGCCTATCCTTTGCGCTATTCTAATCTGTTCCTCTTCTGTCAGCTGCGTTGCTAGCCGGGTCTGGCTAGGAGTTGGATGGTAAACAGGAACCGGGACCTGCTCCTATATTTAAAGAGATTCAAACAAAAAAAACGAAGTTTGTTTTCGGATGTTTCCTGATGCTGGTGGATTTTGCAACATAGTAACCTTACTGTTTCTCCACTCTCCTCCTTACCCACTGAAAAAATGTTTGCCCAAAATACCGTCCCCTTGCTCTGTACTTTGTTGGCTTAATTAAAAAGTGAAGCATAGGATAAAGAACAATGGGGAAACTGGCAAAGCTGGTCTCTATAAAGAGCATTTAATATAGTCTCCAAGAGTTGGTCATAAATTAGTTAAACCAGATGCACAGCTTCCATGTGAATATAGGCAAATAAAACTTGCATGAATTTAGCTAATTGATTGATATTCATTCCAACCATGTAATGTTTGGGGAACAGTTACAAATATAAGCTGATGTAATTTCGTTCTCTATATTTATGGAGAATCATTTGTACAGATGGAACTAGATGATTTTCAAAGATGCTTTCTTGGTTCCATAATGACAGAAAATGGATGTTAATAGTAATGCTCTATCTAACCAAAAATTCAGAAATGTAGACTTTTTTCTTCTTAAATGTTTAAATATGCCAGCTGGACAGTGGAAAGAACTGTCCAAATAAACAGCTGAAATTTTAGAACTGCTCTAGCCCATTTTACGCTTTTCACCAGTTGTCTGACATTGGACTCGGTGCCGTGTATTTGAACTACACGCTCCCCAGACAAAATAAACAAGATTGTGGTATTACACAATCTCCTCCTTCATGTGTTCTCAAAAACTGAATTTTAATTATTTGGGGGAACAAATGCCTCTGCTTAGAAATATAAGTGTTTCTGAAAGCAGAATCCATCACAGGTCGGGGAATACTGTTCTGGGATGTGACAGCTTTGCGTGCATCACAAATGCCAGGTTTACAACCATACCCACTGTAAACTCCTCGTCCTCCCATATGCCCCATTACCGTCAATGAGACCCCTCTTAAATGCACTTCCAAAGCTTCTCCCTTTGCAGAGTCCGGGGAGTCCCAGATCACTGCCCCTCTGCTTTTCTCAGTCACTCTCCTGTAATAATTTTTAGCCCAGTTTCCCTTGCTCTGTCTCTCCGATGTCCCTGTCTTGACTGGACTAGTGTCCTCAAACTCAGCTAGGCCTCAAGCTCAACGTGGAACATCGTGTTGTGGTTTTCACTAATTAATCTCCTCCACTGGGTTAGAGATAGCTATAGTCTGGTCGCAGCGCTGATCCATAGGATTTGCTACCGGGCAGCTCCATGCAGCTTCTCACAGTGCTGGTTATCCTCCCCACTCTGAGTTTTCAGCCAGTCTTTAACCCACGCAACAATGCTCCTCTCCATACCCATTTAATTTTTCTACTTGAAATTTGTAAGGAACCACATCAAATGTTTCACTAAGCTTCAAATATATTTCATTACATTATCTGCACTGCCCTGACTTTAATTGCTCAAAAGACCATCAAAAGTAGTTGTTTTATGTTTTTTGGGGTGTTTTTTTTTTTTTGGCCAAGTTATAGCTCCCAATAGCTCTGTTCTCCGCAGTGGCTAAAATCATAGGGAATTTGAGAGTTTTGGTGTTCACTACAACAGAGGCAGGGTTACATCCCTTCAGTTTTCTGGAAGTTTAGACTTCAGAGGGAGACTGTCTTGCAAGGTCCTGCATCTGTGATTAACACAGTCAGTGGTTCAGTTAGGTTGATTAATTCCTTGGGCTGCCTTCTAATGGTCTGAATTCTGCCAAATATGCCCTAATCAGGTTTTTGATGGGGCGCAGTAGCCACCACGGCTCCAAGTGACCTTCAGATACAGTACGAGCCTTGTGTGACCGCTGCAATCTGGGTAAGAGAACAACGTTGTCCCCTCCCCAGTGGTGTTGACCCCAGGATGCTGAGCACTTCTGCTGGAGGTAGGTGCATGGACGAGGACGTGGCACCAGGCTGGTTTCGTTAGGTTTCATGTTTCATGAAGCTGCCTTTGCTCCATAGTTACATGTTAGAGAAACACGTTATCTCTTGTTTTATGAAGTTTGACCCTATTTTTACATGAAAACCAATGTTATATGTGAAAGGGGAATGTCTATTCTTGCCTTTATTCAGAAAAAATACACAGTGCTTAGCAACTAATCACATGATTATCAAGCGTATTATATGGTGACTAAAAGCCAAAACAGACAAACAATCCCTAACAGGGAGCAAGTTATCTTTGAAAATGTTCTAAAGAAGATTCAGGCATTCAGACCAACATACAATGAATGGCCTTGTCAATTAGGAAGTTAGAAATTGATCATCTCGTTATTAGTGCGGCAGAAACGGGAACCTGGTTCATTCAGTAGGATTCTGTTGCGTCAGGATGGTTCAAAAAAAGAGAAATTCACTATGGCAGCTACATGAAGATAGGGTACACTAAGTCTTAGGTATTATTAAAATGTACAAAATTGACAGGCTAATACAAGTTAAAAAAATTTAATGTACAAAAACAGACAAAAAGGAAATTTATTTTAGTCTTTGGTAGATATAAACATATGCTGCCATATCTCGTTTGTTTAACAAGCACAGTCTTATATTACTCCAGCCTCCCCTTGTTTCTCCTACACAGGAGGGAATCGCTGACGTGATCAAAGGTAGGATTTATCAAGTTTGCAATCCCTAACTTCTGAATGCTCTGAAGTGTCTGTACTTACACAGATCTGCAAACACTAATCTTTTTGGCTTCCTCTGTCCTGTCTTCTTCAAGAGAGATACTGTACTTTGTATACATGTCTGACGCACAAAAAAATTATGTCAGGAATTTGTAGTTGCCAGCAGGGACCTTCTACAATCTCACGTACTACACAAGCAACTCTTCTCAGACAACTTGCCTTGGAGAAAGAGCAAATGGTGCTGTCTCACTGTTAAGGCATTATACCAGCAATTTAAAAAAAAAAAAAAGAAGACACTGACAGGCTACCATGAAAATGTATAAGACAATATTACTGGAAGTAAAAATAGGTAGCACCATAATACTAGTGATTGAGAGTGCACCTCCTCATAGCAGAGTGCCTGAGGCTACTGTTAATCTCCCTTCCAATTACTATTAAAAGCCTGACCATCAAACGCAACCTGTAGCCCATTATGTAAAAGCATTTCAGTACAACAGAAGTGACATGCACTACACAGAGCTGAATTACAACTTGCACTGACAGACCTTTCCAATTCATTTTTTTTAATAGTGTTTAAGAGCTTGTATATATTTGTGAGTACTATGATGAACATGTTTCAAGATATTTATTAATTAGAACGTGAGAATCCATACTCATCTGACCCGGTTCTTTTAGGCAAGCCGAGCATAATTTACTTCTATGGAGGGAATTAAAATGTTTGATGAAGAAGCAGATTTTAAAAACAAGAGCTGAATGGGAGATAAGGAAGGGTTTTTCTTTGTTACATAATAAAAACCGGAAGGCTTTGATATACATATGGTAGATGCAGATCTCTACCGACTCTGGGCCTTTTGCATAGAATGGGATATAAATCTAATAAATACAAAAAATAAAAATAAAAATTGAACAATAACCTGGAAAGGAGTTTGTAAACTCTAAGATGCCAGAAAACAGGAAACAAAATTAACATTATTTCCCACTTCTTGGAAACCTTTTTTTCAGACCAAAAATATTTAGTTTTTAAAATTAATATTTTCTTCTTAGTCCAAAACCTTGTTAACCACATTTTAACCAGGCTCTGTAATACACCATTCTTGGAAGTTAACCTCATAAATCAATGACATCTAGTAGCTACCTGGCTACAATTAGGCCCTGATCCTGCATGCGATTGCTTACCATAGTAGAGTCAAGTACCTTCATGAGTCTTTGCAATATCAGAATTTAGAGCCCAATCTGTCTAGGTTCACTGCTGTGAGTAACTGCACTGATTTCAACACAGATGCTCAAAGGAATAATTGTTTAAAGGATTAAGAGACCTTAGTCAGACTGTGTTTATAGCTATGCATACAGATAAAAGATACTGTACAATCCTATAATTATTTTATAGTGCAAATCCAAAGCGTGTATATGCTGCTCTTCAGTCTCCTTTCACCTCACATCCATGCACAGTATTTACATTGATAAATTATGAACTGCTACAGTCTTAACTAGAGCAAGGGGACCATGTTTGGATGATTTTAAGTTATTCAATATCTCAACTCAAAAAGAAATGATATAATAATTCTATTATGGTGGATAAAACAAATGATTTTTCTTAAATAAAAACAATTGGATTTTAATTTTTTTTTGTTAAGATGCTTTTAAAAAAGGTGGCTTTAATTTAAGATATGTTAAAGCTCAAAGAATTCATCATGGAATAAGGATTATAACTTCTAATTATATACTATTTGAGATAATAACCTTCTTAGAAGTTTTATAAATAGATTACAACAGGGCACGGACTGTATTAGGGGCCCAATCTTATGGGGTTCCCAGAGGCTTCTCTATAGATTCAAGAAAACCACTCTACCCAACGGGACTCAGTGCTCAGTGTAGAAGAGCCCACTGAGCATCTCTGTGGCCCTTAGTTCTATTGTCAAGCTGTGGATTTGTGTCTCCAGAGATCATAGGCAGACACGGTTCTTTGGGTAGATGCAATATCTTTTCTTAGACCAACTAAATAATTGGAAACATTGTTTTTTGCAAGCTTTCGGGCACAAGCGCCCTTCTTCAGGCATAGCAAAAGTTTGTCGTCTCCAGATATACTGTCCTTATTAACAGCAGTGTAGGGAGATGAGAGAGATCAGACCCGATTACCTACCCATCAGCCCTGTTGTCTCTCTGCAAGTTTGTGTACACCGGTCAAGCCCTTACCTCTCTCTAAAAGTGCAAAGTTTCACAAAGTTAAATGAATAAAGGATATCAAACAACAAGAATGCACTTTTTGTAGAAAACAATTATTAAATTGAGGCTTCTTGACTGGTGGTTTAAATCTTGATTTAAATTGATTTGATTTAAATCAAATCCACCCTGATTTTTAAAAAGCTTTAAAAA